CTCCGCGCCTTCCCTGAGAGCTGCAATCCCGGGATGTTAGCGATCGGCCATCTTGGATCCCAGATCCTATCACTCTTTGTAGAATAGCTTTCTTCTCACTCAAATTCACAAAACTGACTCAGTATTACTCTCTGTGCTACAGCTTATTTCTTAGAAAGGTTCTTAGAAAAAAAATCTATGCATTGTGGAATATTTTCATTTTTAAAAGTTTTACTTCCACCAAAGGACCTCTGGCTTTGCAAGCAACATTTTTACCTTTTTCCTTTTCATTTTTTCATAAATGAAAATGATATGCTTCATATTCATAAAATCAGTACACATTTCTACAGTGAATCTAAGACTTCATGGGCCATCATACACGAAAAACATTTACTAGAAATACTCCATCTTTATTGCAAGGCTTTCTTTACCCTTTTCCTTCCCCTATCATGTAACTTGACATAAATGGAATTGGAACACACAGACTTGGTCAGAGAAAATAGAATTAGAAATGGGAAAGAAGAGTAGAGTTGAGAATTAGTTTGGGTTTAGAAGTGAGATTCTAAGCAGGTGTAATAGCTGAAATGAATGAACAACTCAGGTGAAGCAGAAAGCAGAGCTGATGACAAGAGAAGACTTGGTTCTAGGTTTCAGAGTTCAATGTTTTAGGGACATAAATTTTAAAAGTCATTCCTGTGCTTTTTGAACTTTCAAGATTCTGTATAATCTTGAAAAACTTTGCTGTCCTATGTATGTCAAATATAAGTGATGGCACAAATAAAACAAAATGGCCATGGAGGCCAGGCACGGTGGCTCAAGCCTGTAATCCCAGCACTTTGGGAGGCCGAGGCGGGTGGATCACGAGGTCAACAGATCGAGACCATCCTGGTCAACATGGTGAAACCCTGTCTCTACTAAAAATACGAAAAATTAGCTGGGCATGGTGGTGTGTGCCTGTAATCCCAGCTACTCGGGAGGCTGAGGCAGGAGAATTGCCTGAACCCAGGAGGCGGAGGTTGCGGTGAGCTGACATCGCGCCATTGCACTCCAGCCTGGGTAACAAGAGCAAAACACCATCTCAAAAAAAAAAAAAAAAAAAAAAAGGCCATGGAAATAGAAAAAAATGTCTTCCTTTTAAGTGAACTGATTTTTAAAGTTTTATGTGTCTAATTTGGGGACCACTTCACAAAAAACATTTCATCAGTAACAACTGCAGAGAATTTCTGAATTAACTGAGCTATGTATGACTAAGAAATTAAGCAAAGCTATTGTCCTATGTAATCAATGGAGACATGTGTTTGCCTAATAGAGGTTACTTCTGCTAGATTCCAACCATCCAGTATGAAAGGAAAAACAGGTTATGCTATAACTAAAGATAAAAGATAGGCTATAAACATATTTCTCTCTGGTGTTAATCTGGATAGCTGAAATTTAATTCTTGACTCCTATATGCATTTAAAGGTGGTAGGCAACTTTATCTCATGCTACAGGTTTGATCAAAAAAACAATCACATACCCAAGCATACACACAATTTTACTGGCTTCTTCCCCACCCTCTTTGTGGAGAATCAAAGCTGGCAGAAAGTAGTTTGGCCTGTAAGCTCTTTAGCACTTTCTGTCCATCTGGGATAGGGAGACAGCCAGCTACAGGATTCCTGCAGAGATGTTACTGTTTGATGCCTTTCACAAATGCATTACTTAAAACAATGCAGTGAGTTCACTGCTAAAGACTGCGTGGGACCTTTGCTCTCACATGATTAGGCATTATAGAGTAAAATCAAAGATAAAATTTACTCACATAAACAATATCAATAGCTATTAACAAGTATATTTTTCTAACTTCTCTGGTAGGTATGTATCAAGGGCTCAATCACAATAAAATAAAAATGCATATCAAGTATATGCATTCCCGCATATGTGTAAACCATGAAGAAAGTGAAGAATATTCAATAATAAGTAATAGTGGCAGGGCACAGTGGCTTATGCCTGTAATCCCAGTGTTTTGGGAGGTCGAGGCAGGAAGATGGCTTGAGGCCAGGAGTTTAAGATCAGCCTGGACAATACAGTGAAACCCTATCTGTACAAAACTTAAAAATTAGCTGGGTGCAACTGTAGACCTAGCTACTTTGGAGGCTGGGGCAGGAGCCCAGGCACTCAAGGCTACAGTGAGTTAGGGCTGTGCAACTGCATTCCAGCTCGGGTAACAGAGTGAGACCTTGTTTCTGGGGCACGGGAAAAAAAGCAATAGTTTGGAGATCATCAGAATTCATTGAAGTATGAAAAAAGTAACATGACATACAATCAGCTAGTCCTAATTATCATGGTAAAATATTTTTAATGTGTTTTATATGACTCGATGTCTAGGGATAGGTCTTTATTCTGATTGAATGGTATTTTCACATATTTAATACTATAGAACTAAACAGGAATATTTTATGTGCTTAAATTTAAAATCTGCTCTTGGAGTTAGTGCAACACTGGATATCTAAGGATGTTTCTCAACTGACACACATGATTAGTATTTCTACCTAGTACACTACATACTTTGTGAAGATACTGACTTGTAAGACTTTGTTCTGGCTCTTCTAGTCTAAATTATAACTAATCAATCCAAAAGAGGCAACAGAAAGGTAGTACGCTGGTGATGAAATGTCAAATTATGTATTTTAAATGATATCCACTCAACAGGTTTAAAAGACAGTGATGTAGTCTCCAGTTAAATATTAAGATGTAAGACATGCACTTCCTCTGCTCATTGTCACAATCTAAGTAAGCCACATAAGAAAGTCAGAACCCTCATGAACAGAGAATAGAAAAAGACAACAGTAAGTAAATAAATAAATAATCAACAAAATTTTGAAAGATGGTAAGTGAACAGACAAGCAATAACCAATTGATTTAGGTTTCAGCTTTCTCTGCTGTGCTTGATCTGCAAGGGGAGGAACTCAATAAGAAAGCCAATTCATCCATCAGAAACCTGGTAAAAGTCAAGAACTGAAGACACAAGGTCCTTTGATACACAGTGGGGAGGAATGGATAAAATAGGAAGACTGATTAAAGTCTGTACTGCAGTTCCTAATACTTCCCAGATCTAGCTGGTTTTGGTGGTGTGTGCCTGTACTCCCAGCTACTCGGGGGTCTGGAGTGCAAGAAAAACTTGAGTTCAGGAGTTAGAGGCTGCTGTGAACTATGATCATACCACTGCATTACAGCCTGGGCAACAAAGCAAGACCCCATTTCTAAAAAAAAATTTTTTAATGCAGATTAAGCATATCAATTACTTTTTATCTCTTCCTAAATTCCACTGAAATGATGGTAAAGGAATCTGCTTCTATGGACATAAATAAAGTAAGAGAAAAAGCAATAAAATTTTGGAAGCTAGAAAGCAGATTCAACAGAACAGAACAAGGAAGCTGAATTCGAAAGTCCAGAAGAAATCTGACTTTAATTCAGATGAGATTGGGTGTGTCCAAGGTGGTATGGCTGTAGACACAAATAAAATAATTCAAAACAATTTTCTATAACTCAAGAACATGAGTTCACAGACTGGTAAAGTCCTAACACAGGGGATGAAAACAGAAGAGTTTGAAGTTGAAGTAACGACATGTACAAATAAACAATGCAAATGAAAAATTAAGGCAAGTATTCATCTGTGAATGTTTACATGATCATAACATAAACATGGAATACTGTTCTAAAAACATGACATCACTACATGTGGAAGATAAAATAAATGGAAAATGATCAGTGGCAGCCCAAGGATATGCTTGGGCTTAATCCTTATTTCCAAAGTAAAATGCCAATAGTTAAAGCCTAAAACTAAAATCAAGGAATGGCCTTGAGAGTACACGGAAATATTAAAGTAAGTATCAAACAGAGAAAAGCTAGAAGTTGTCTCTGAAGAGATGAAAAGGAAGAAAAGATTAGGGAACATATTTAATTCTAATAAAAATGAGAAAACAATATCTCCCAGTAGTAAAAGATACGAGTTTTCAGATTTAAAGGGTAAATCTAAAACTTAGCGCAATCGATAAAAAAATCAAAAACCAAAAGAATAAAAAGAAAAACCTTCCAGAAGGTGTACACATGAAGCTTTTTTTTGTATATACAAAAAGCAAAAGGGCAACCAATTTTTCAAGAGACTTCAAGATTCTGAGGAAAACCTATTTCTTTCTTAGAAGTTTCTACTGAGCCAACATTTTCTATCAAGCGTGAGAGAAAAAACAGAGGTAATTCCAGGCAAGCAAGATTTCAAAAGACAATTCGGCACCCTTTCTAAGGACACCATAGGAGAATGTACGCTGCCAAAAAAAAAAAAAAAAAATAGAGAGACAGAGTAAACCAAGGAAAAGGAAATCATAAAATCCAGAAAGGGATAGAGGGAATTCTTAGAAGACAGTGAAGAAAGTCCCAGGATACTAGCTATGCCGGAAGTGTAGAAAAGGGGGGGCTCCAGAAGGATATATCCATGCGGAAAGAAAAAGCAGAAATGAAGTATCTGAACTATTGAGGTTCTACCAATTCTTTGGAAGAGTTCATAGTTTCCACAATTACAAAAATAAAAAATTATTTAAGGAAGGTAATAATACACTTTAATGCCTGGCTGTAAATAATATTTTCATAAGTATGACATGGTAAAACTGACTAGAAATTTCACAAAATGTTATCTCTATTTTGGGAGAAGGGAAGAAAAGGGAAGAGGAAGAAAGGTACAATAATATATATATAGTACCATTATCACATAATATTTAAATACAAAGAAGGAATTCCCAAAAGAAATGCCTAAAAAAGGTGAAAGCAGCTAGACTTGGATAAGAAAGAAAAATGAGAGCACTAGCATTTTTCTTATATTTAGCTTTTTAAATGATTTGTCTCTATTACTTTGAAAATATTTTCAAGTATATAAAAAATTTCAATAAAGCAAAGTTATCCAATGACATAAAATCTTTCTCAAATCAGAGATGAGATCTAATGGTGTTATCTGCAAAATAAATTAATATTAATGATGTTTTGAAGGATACATTGCAAAAGACAAAACAAGCAGGCACCAGACTAAGCTGATATTCATTTCCTGTGTAGGCTTCATAAAATTGTAGTAGACTTCAGTTACTATATACACAACTGTAGCAGCCACTGTGAAATCCACCAGCCACTGGTATTCTGGAAAGTAATGTAACACTGCAAAAAAAAAAAAAAAGGTTTAAAATATGTTTCACTTTAATTTTTATAAATAACTTATGAGGATTTATTTATAATTAAAATATGCTAGACTTTATTGATTTGCAACATAAGATTTATAAATATATAAATCTAAAAATGCAGGTAACAGACTGAGGATGTCAGCACCCAAAACTAAATTTTAGTACCTCACAAATTAAAATAAACCTTAAAAGATTACCAAAAGTTATTTAAGTTGTTGGTAACGTATGATTGCAATTTATTGATATTAACTGACACAGCTATTTTTTTCAGAAATTATAAGTGTTTTCTTTTAAATATGTATGATACCCTAACTTCAGAAAACAACTTAGTCTAGAACATAACCACTTTACTTACATTGTTCACTTTTGTGAAGAGTTAAAGTTTATTTTACAATTATTGGATGTACTAATTGTAAACTAGTAATTCTGTGAAATACTACAGATTAAAATAATAAACTAGGAAGGGTGTGATAGCTCAAGCCTATAATCCCAGTCATTTTGGAGGCCAAGGTGAGAGGATCACTTGAGGTCAGAAGTTCGAGTCTAGCCTAGCCAATGTGGTGAAACCTTGTTTCTATTAAAAATACAAAAATTAGTTGGGCATTGTGGAGGGCGCCTGTAGCCCCAGCTATTTGGGAGGCCGAGGCAGGAGAATTGCTTAAACATGGGAGGCAAAGGTTGCAGTGAGCTCAGATCATGCCACTGTACTCCAACCTAAGCAACAGAGACTCCATCTAAAAAATAATAAGAAAATAATAAACTAAATATACCTTTTATACCCTCTTTTGTTCTACAAGAAAAGTTTATAAAATGTCTGTTGATTTTCCATAAAACCATAACCCTTCAACAAACTATTCCATTCTTAAGAGTCTACACTGAAATTAACATTATTTGAAAGTAAATATAATTCCATCATCCGTTGCATCTCAGTTGTTTTAAACTTCTTATAAGGCATAGGTATTCTGGTTTACTTCTACAGAGTGTAGTCCACAACATCAACATCGTTTTTTAGAACGCCTCCTAAAACTGTGGAAGTAAATCACGTACATAACCATCAATTCAGAAGTTCTCATGGCAGATAATAAAACGATCTGCATTGCTTTGGACAATTTTTAGTCATAAAATATAATAAAATTATACTTGAAGATACAGTAATCCTTATAGAAAAAGTATTTTGAAAATATCACATAAAATAAGACCTACTGAACACAGTATCAAAACTAACCAAAATTTATACCATTTCTATAAGATGATCATAACATTTTAATAATCCAAAATTCTTTTATGATTGCTTTTTAAATGTGTATTGAGTTATTTTAAAACTCTTAATCTGCTTCAATTTTCTTTAACTTTAGGTTAACTGCTTCATGTTTTCTGAGAGTGCCGTGGTATGATCATAGCTCACTGCAGCCTCAGATTCTGGGGCTCAATCTTCCCACCTCAGCTTTCCTAGTAGCTGGGACTACAAATGCACACCACCACACTTGGCTAATTTTTTTATCTTTTATACAAATGTGGTCTCACTATATTGCCCAGGCTGGTCTCAAACTCCTGGGCTCAAGTCATCCTACCATGTGGCCTCCAAAAGAGATGGGATTACAGACATGAGCCACCACACCCAGGCCTACTAAAGTAGGTTTTCTAATTGTGATTGACCAACAGCTTCTGAACATAAACCAGAAAGATTCATCCTGATGTGGTTGCAGAATGCTTGCCCTCAATCCCCACCCGCTGCTAAGAAAAAAAAAATCACCCATGCTGAGCTTTCTATCTGGAAGGAGATAAGAGAAGTGGATGGGAAGGACAGACCAAAATCTATTTAAGGTTTTCAACTTTATCATCAATAATTGAAATAAGCATTCTAATTCTCCAAACCTGCTCATACTCATAGAGGCTTCCTCCATGGAACTCATTCATAGCAAACAGCCAACTGACATTCAAAAGTTCTAATGCTCTTTAAAAGGTTCTTATAATAAATAGCTAATACAAATTAAGATAGATTTTTCACAATAATTATTGAGACATCAGTAATATATACATTCCATGAAAGTACAAACTATGTATTTCCTTGACTATTTAACCCGTGTTATATACTTTGTGCAAGCAGTAATACAATTACATATATGCCTTTTAATAAAATATTGAAGTCAAAAGAAGACAGAAAACCCTTTATTTTCTCACCTAAACACATATATACAACATGCATTCACAAATGATTACATAAACTTGTAAACATATATGAACATCTCCCTGCTATTCTGATTAACTGGAAATGCTCTTGATATTACATGACCAATTGATAAATGAGTACCATTTGCAACTAGTTCTCAAAATTCTAGAAGTGAAATAAAATACTCTATCAACTACATGCTAACGCTATAATACCCTAATTTTAATTTTTTTTAGTTCATTAAAATAGCCTAGTTCTCACTGACTGCCTGTACCACATTCAGTGGTAACCCTGTCCAAGTTTTTAAACTCTTCTTCCTAATGAGTTGAAAAAAACTGTTGACAGTTAGCCACCTCAGAATTGTGAGAATGAGGTAATACAAGTAAAATATTCTAACAATGTCTGATAATCAATAATTTTAAGATATTAAAATTAATTAGCTAACAAATTATTCAATAAACATTATTAGTAAAAATGTTAAAACTACTAAAAGTCAGAAAGAATGTTTATATTTTCTTGTATTTATACAGGTCTATGAACATTTTATATTAAGTAAGCACATATAGAAGTAGTGAAACAAATGTGACAACTACTAATCAAAAAGTCAATGTGACTTTAAATGTTTTAAATGTTGAATGTAAAATAGTTAAAAAGAGAAAAGAGAATGACATCACCAGTCTTAAGAGTCTAAATGATATTAGATAAGTGATTTATATTGTTCTTCACTGACATTTTTTAGTTCTAGGACATCCTTTATATACACATTCAACTTTTACAGATGTAATGATAAACTTTCAAGTATTTTGAAACCACTGTGTATCATAAAATAATCCTATATGAGATGCTACATCTCTTAAGATTTTTTGATAGCAGTATGATTTAACCCAAGAAGGGTCAAATTACATAATGACACCTTATATGATATTATCAAAATTATTTTTAAAAAACATGCATCATTTTATTTCCTTTATCACATAAACCAGTGGTTCTCAACCCAGGTCAAAAATCAAAATCACTTGGAGCACTTTTAAAAATGAAAATTCCCAAAACACACTCTAGATTCACTAAATCTCCAAGGATGTGAGTAGGAAATCTTTATTTCAGAAAAATCTCAAGTGATTTTGATATATCCCAAAGTTGAAAAACCAGTGTTTTAAATTATTTCACCTTAGATGCCTTTTCCTTCTAGGATTCAAATAATTTCATATAAATATCATTTTAAACTAGAATCACTGTAGTCATTATATAATTACAGAAATTGAGATACTAAATTACTGTAATTTATAGGAGGAAAGCTAAATGACCTATTCAGAAATAACAAATGGGTAAAAGTAAATCCTGAATAAGTAAACTTTTCTGACTTCTAATCCAGTTCATTATTCTAAAACCACTTTCCTTTCTACTATATGTGAGAATAAAAGTGAATTACTCTAAATATAGGTAATTCAACAGAAATACAGTTGACCCTTGAACAACAGTCTGAACCACGCGTGTCTACTTATACGCAAATTTTCTTCCATCCCTGCCATCCCTCAGACAGCAAGACCAACCCCTCCTCTTCCTTCTTTTCCTCAGCCTACTCAAAGTGAGTATCACAACGATGAAGACTTTTATGATGATCCACTTCCACTTCACTTTCTCTTATGATTTTCTTAATAACATTTTTTCTCTAGCTTACTTTAATTATAATAATACAGTATATAATACATATAACATACAAAGTATGTGTTGACTGTTAATGTTATTGGTTAGTCTTCTGGTCAGCAGTCGACTGTTAGTATTAGGTTTACAGACAGTCAAAAGTTGTACTTAAATTTTCAACTGCATAGGAGTAGGCACACCAACCCCTGGGCTGCTCACAGCCTGACATTTCAAATTCAGTTTTGCAAGCCACATTAGAAAAGAACAGACTGGTATAAATAGTAAAAGGAAGTCTAGAACTCTAGGATAATAAGAATTGACTGTGACCTCAATCTAATAAACAGACACTTAACAAACTTGTGTAAGCCTCTTCTGAAAATAGGAAAAATAATTCAAGTTAGGTGAACAAAAAAAGAAATGTAATTCAAATGAAGTCATTTGAACTTTTAAGTTCTTAGAAAGATTTCATATTCTGTATAATGAACTTAATGATTAAAATGAGAGTACTTTCACTACCATAATATAAAACTGAGATTTATAGAACATTTTAGCAAGATTTCCCTTACCTAAAGTATCCACTTCTGTAACTGACTTTGTTTCTAGATGAAGGTCAATATCCTTTGGAATGGTTAATGGCTTACTTTCAATGTGACCATTATATTTCCTATAAAAATCAGACAAGTGACACAAAAAACAAGTTACCTACACTGTTATCCAAGTGCTTGTTTCAAACTAATTACAAATGAGATTTTAAATTTTACAGTGAAAAGAAAGAATTTCTAAAACTTCATCAATAAGGAGGCAAAGTACTCAAAGGTAGTTTTTAAAAGGGTACTATAAAATTTGGATATAAATTATCATGTGAATATACAGATTACCAGGGAAATAATTACCTAAATTAGTGACTGCAACAAACCTTTTTTTGCTAGCTTAGCATTTCACACCCATTTCTCCTACTCTCTTTTCTCTTTAGGTACAAGAATAAATGCAAATGAAGACAAAGTGTACTTCTCCTTGAAGTGACATGTATAAACACACACACACACATACATACATACAAACAGACCTGTAACTATATGCAAGTCAAAGTTGAAGAATTATATTAAGATTTATGTGTATGAGAAATTCAGAAACATGAAAGACTCACTTGGAATAGCTTTTACTAAAAATTACAGATGAAGGAAAACAAATTCTTCAGGTACATTTGTATGATTCCCAAATTTAATTTTTAAAGACAAACATATAGAAAGTAATAAACTAAGATTTCAATTTAGTATTTTTTTAGACACACAGTTGCCCAGGCTGGACTGAAATTCCAGAGCTCAAACAATTCGCCTGCCTCAGCCTCTGCATAGTTGGGACTACAGGTATACACCCCCATGCACAGCTTCAACCAAGTTTTAATAACATTAATTTCAATATTGAAAAACAACTTTGCATTTATCCCTGAACAAAATGGGAAGCCTCAGTAAAAATAAATTCATGTTGATAAACCAAACAATAAATCTTGTTAATAGGAACAAGGCAGCAATGTTAATGTATCTTTCTGTAACTATAAGGCATGTTCAATGGAAAAACATTATTGTAAAACAGAATTATTCATTACAAGGCATTATAATGAGAATTCAGGCCAGATGCAGTGGGTCACACCTATAATTCCAACACTTTGAGAGGCCGGGAAGATTGAGGCAGGAGAATCACTTAATCCCAGGGGAGACCAGCCTGGACAACACAGGGAGACCCTGTCTCTACAAAATTTTTTTTAAAAAAACTAGCTGGGCATGGTGTTGCATGCCTCTAGTCCCAGCTATTCAGGAGGTTGAGGTGGGAAGATCATTTGAGCCTAGAGGATCGAAGCCACAGTAAGTCAGAATTGTGCCACTGCACTTCCGCCTGAGTGACAGAGCAAGACGCTACATAACTAACTATATTTTACAAATGTCGAACGTGGTAGCTATTAATAGGTGGAAGTGAAACAGCTAAAAAGAAACAAAAACTAAAAACTAACCTGGATTCAAATTCTGGTTACTAGTATATAACCTTACTAGTTAAGTGAACTTGGGCAACTAATTTAACATCTCTGATCAATAGCTTCTCATCATTAGCTAACATTCATGGTTGTTTTGTGGATTAAGTAGAACGGTACTATTTTATTGAAGAACTTAACTACTGGAATAAAAAGAAGTAAGGTTTACTGTTAATATTCCAATGAGCTTCCAGGTATATTTGGAATGATAAGTGAAAAAGGATGATAGTAAGATCGAAAAAGACAGTCTTTTCAAATTTCCAATTTTATGCCAAATAATCATTAATGTTGAAATAAAATTTTTTAGCTTCTATAAATTTATTACGTTAGTTTAACATTTTTATGATATATATGAAAAGTATGGTTACAATTTGTTGTCAATCAGTCATGATTTCAGAGTCACAGGGGCCCTAAGAAGTCCTCTTGGATCCCCAGTTGTGAAAACAAAGTCCATTCAGAGACGTAATCACACATTTCCCCTAAAAACTCTATTTAAATAGAGATACAAAATTTTAAAGCGGAAAGTATTCTTCAAAATGACTATTGTTTTGTTTACTCTTTCCATTTCACAGATGAGGCTACTATGGTCTGTTTTGTGAGGTTTATTAGTAGACAGTTCTCTTCATAAACTTTAAACATGAACAGAATATTCAAGAGCTGATGAGACCTACAGAGTTATATTATCCATCCCTTTTAATTTTAAAATGAGAAAAATTAAGGCCAAAAGCAGGTTTGCCCAATACTACAACACACAGTAGCAGCAAAACCTGGAAAATAACCCAAACCAACTGATATCTTTAATGAGTTGTAGGATAAAGATACGAGTTATAAGTCTCTCCTCAATCAACCCCCAACTAAATTTTCTTTAGTATGATGGCTATATTGTTTTCATGATTTAAAAAAAGAATAAAGTTAACCATTCTTGATTAGAAAATCACTATTTTGTGTGTATATATTACTACATATTAGATTTTCATGGGTTTTGATCTCAAATTTATCAACTGCTTACAACATAATTGGGACATGTTTCTTTAATCAAAGCATAAAACTATATTTATATAAAGTGTGCTAAATATTTAACACTTTACAAGCTCAACAATATAACTTACCTATCTTTTTTGCTTTTCCCTTTTTGCTGTTTCCCTGCAAGAATTCTTAATTCTTCTTCTGTAGGATGTTGATACCACCTTAAACTAAGCAAAAAAAAAGAGTCCTTTTAAATAAAGCACTTAAAATCACCAGAATTATTCTTTATCCTATAAATATTTATTAAATTTCATATTTGTGAAGGCACTGTTGAGAAATATCAGGTGAGAAATGTAATCCGAAACAAATACTATCTCTTAAATTTTAAAAGGACCTAGATAAAAATCTAGTAAACATTTACAAGGTCCTTACTAGATGCTAGGTCCTGAAATGCCATTTGTATGTATAATTCTTACAAGTGGCAATGTATTAATACATATTAAGATTATACAGGTTTATTATTAAAAGTAAATGAAGTCTGCAGCCAAGTGGGCAGGAGCATATTAATTCTCTACTAATCCCTCAGTTGAAGGAATTGAGACTTATCTTAAAAAAAGACTTATTTGAATGAATTTTCACATTACAGGTAGTCTTTCTTTTCCCTTTTTAATTTAGTTTGAGAATTCTCAAACTTTATGTGTAGAAGAATTAGAGAAAAACCATTGTATTACAAAACACTTTTAGCTATATCTAACTTTTCTCAGGTAAGAATCCAACAACAATTGGTTGTATTCCTCTCTACCACGGTAAAAATACTGTAATCTGAGGTGAAGAAATACTCAAGATCCGAAAAAATCATTTACTGCCTCCCAAGCACCAAGTGGCTCATCCTAAATTTCATGTCTTGCCAGTCGTCCCAACTATCTACCAGTCACTTAAATATCTTATTTTTAATGTGCCCTCACCACGTTATTAATTCTGTCCCTCAACTCTTACAATTCTAAACTGTCATATTGCAGAGACCTTAGCTCAGACCTTAGTTCAGTGTATCTTCCTCTGAACATCTGACTACTGCATCTGACTACTGCAAAATTCTCTCACCGGTCCCCTCCCTGCCTTCCTGTGGACACATTACTGATCAAATCCATCTGAGCTTACCACTAGTTACTGTTTTTCTGTTTTTGTTTTTATACCTTACAGAAAGGTGGCATCTTTACTTATTTTTCCATTATAGAAATCTTATTAAGACCTATGCCTGTTTAAATCATTTCCAAGGTTCCCCACAGGGTAAAGCAATGAAAAAGGCAGTTAGGCAAAAACTTTGACAAAGGCCCTATCGTTATAAAGGAAGAAATGCAGAGCTAGTGTGCTAGACCTTCCAATTCTTCAATTACAAAAATCTAGATTCTTTTAAATTTAAAATTGCTCAATTGCTGTTCATTTGTTTTTTTGTTTGTTTGTTTGTTTTTTTGAGATGGAGTTTCGCTCTTGTTACCCAGGCTGGAGTGCAATGGCGCAATCTCGGCTCACCGCAACGTACGCCTCCTGGGCTCAGGCAATTCTCCTGCCTCAGCCTCCTGAGTAGCTGGGATTACAGGCACGCGCCACCATGCCCAGCTAATTTTTTGTATTTTTAGTAGAGACGGGGTTTCACCATGTTGACCTGGATGGTCTCAATCTCTTGACCTCGTGATCCACCGCCTCGGCCTCCCAAAGTGCTGGGATTACAGGCGTGAGCCACCGCGCCCGGCCCTGTTTGTTTGTTTTTTAAAATAGAAACAGGGGCTCACTTGGTTGCCCAGGCTAGTCTTGAACTCCTGGCTTCAAAGGATCCCCCCTCCTCAGCCTTCCAAAATGCTGGGATTATAAGCATGAGCCATGGCACGCAGTCTCTTTGATTTGCTGTTTTAAAAATACTGCAGGCCAGGCATGGTGAATCATACCAGTAATCCCAGAACTTTAGAAGACTACAGGACTGTCTGAAGCCAGGAGTTTGAGACCAACCTGGGCAATACAGTGAGACTCTATCTCTACAAAAAAATTTAAAATTAGGGCCGGGCATGGTGGCTTACGCCTGTAATCCTAGTACTTTGCAAGGGTGAAGAGGGGGGATCACAAGGTCAGGAGATTGAGAACATCCTGGCCAACATAGTGAACCCCCATCTCTACTAAAATACAAAAAGTTAGCCAGACATGGTGGCATGTACCTGCAGTCCCAGCTACTCAGGAGGCTGAGGCAGGGGAATTTCTTAAACCTGGGAGGCAGAGGTTGCAGTGAGCCGAGATCGCACCACTGTACTCCAGCCTGGTGACAGAGCGAGACTCCGTCTCAAAAAAAAAAAAAAAAATTAGCCAGGTGTTGTGGCAGGCACCTGTGGTGGGGGGAAGAGGGTGAGGTGGGAGAATTGCTTGATCCTGGGAGGTCAAGGCTGTAATGAGCTGTTATTATGCCCCTGCACTCCACTCTGGGCAACAAAGACCCTATCTCAAAAACACAAAACAAAACAAAACCCCAACAACTGGAGAACTGGCAATTTGGGTACTGACAAAATATTTGATGTTAAAAATTATTAATAAAAATTTTTAGGTATGATAATGGGATGTGGCAATTTTTCGAAATCTCATTATTTTTGATTATACACTGAAATACCTATGCTGGGGTAAGAAGAGATAAAACAAGTTTGGCCACCAGCTATTAATTGTGATGAGTACATAGGAATTCATCATGCTATCTACTCCTTGTATACTTGAAAATTTCTATTAAAACACATATTACAAGGCCCACATGTGTATGGGGGTCATGCACTATCTCTTGCTTCTAGAGCCTTTCATGATCTGACTGACCACTGCCTACTTCTCTGGATTCACCTACAACCATTCCCATTTGAAGGTGACACTTTCTGGCTTGACTAAGCGACATTTTCTTCCTCACAAATTCTTTCATCCCTTTGTGCTTTTTGCATATATTCTTCTCTCCTTATAAACACCTATGCCTCTACTTGGCAAACTATTAATTTATCTCTTAGTGTTTACAAAACAGTCTCCTTGTGATATAATAATAAATATATCTGCTCTTTATCCCCAGTTCTTGGCACAGAGTTTTAAATATAAAAACAAGAGTAGCAGAAATATATTTGTTATGCTAATGAGGTAGGTCAAGGTGGGCCCCAAATAGCTGCAGGATGGAGCTGTTTACCAGAAACACCAAGCACACAATTAGAGGGTTAGGAGTTTCAGAAAGTTGACCTCCAGGGGTGAGAGGGGCCTGGAAATTGAGGTAGATCACTGAAATCGATTTTGTATTAATGAATTAAAATCATACTTATATAATGAAACTCCAGAAAAACTCTGGACATCAAAGCTCAGAGGAACATCCTGTTGGTTAACACATTGATGTACCCTGCCCAGAGGATGACATCATCAGACTCCAGAGGGAAAGGACATAGAAAGTCTGTGCTCTTTCCCAAATCTTACCCTATGCACTCCCTTTAAATAAAACTGTAATAATAAATAAAGCAGTTTCTGAAGTTCTGTGAATCATTCCAGTGGATTACTGGACCTGAGGGAATCATGGGAATCCTCAAATTTGTAGCTTATTAATAAGTCAGAAGTGCAGGTGGCCTGAGTACCCTAAAAACTTGAAGATGGCATCTGAAGTAGGGGCAGTCTTACATAGAAATTTGCCTTTAACCTGTGGGGTCTATACTAATTCCAGGCAATTACTATCAGAATACAAGTACAGTATACCCAGTTGGTGTCAGATAAGTTGGGTTAAAATGGAATGTTTCCCTAAGTGAAAGATTCCAAAAGATTTTATGGCTTTCTTGCTGTTTGTATACTTCAAAGCTAGTACAGTTACTGGCATATGGTAAGTGCTCTAAAAGGATGACTGAACCAAAATGATTTCAGTTGTTTGCTTAGTTTAATGAATTTAAGATAAAAAATATATACATCCCAACCAAAAAGTCCCTAAATTACAATAAACAGGTATGGAGGCACTTCCTGAATTTCTACTGAAGTCCAGAATTTTAACTTACAGAATTGATTCTCGTTATTCACGGTAGTTATGTTTTATAAAGTCACCGCGAGCACTGAACGAACCATTGCTCCGAGGGGAAATACAGGGTTAGGTTCCTGTGAGCCTTGGGTCATAACATTTTCATCAATTGATCAATACCCAAGCTTCTTTTATGTATGTTTCTGTTTAAAGATATCTTATTTAATACATATCATTGACTCACTAACATTAAATTCACAGCCAACAGTGTAACTCATGCCTGAGCAAAGCTTATCTAATACCAGTAGTCATAAGTACAGCATTTGTTTGAGTTCTATGCATTCATTCCAGCAATATTTTTCCATGAGGCAGCCTTCTTGTGCTTAGGAATACTAAACAAACAGTACCTTCGACACTATGTTTGGGGCCTTTTTAAACAGCAAGATCACCAATGGAAAGCAAAATTGTTAAAAAAAAAATGTGACCCTAAACAGATCATAAAAGAGAGATTTGTTTATAATATGACAGCTGAAACAATAAGGCAGACTGTTGCCTTGTTGGACCTCAACCAGGAACATACATATAGGGCCACTCAAATTTTTTGTCACTGTCTATGTCCATGAATTACCACAAAAGCAACAAAAGCATTGATCTTGGAATTACAAACAAATACTAGCTAGTAGGGAAATCACAAAACAAAAATCCACAAATAATGAGGATGAGTGCATAACATTTAGAAGAACACTTATGAGCAATAACTCATTTAAAAGAACATGATCCAGAAACTCAGGTATAAAGACTAAAATTAGTTGTTCAGCTTTGAGAAATAATAATTAGTGAAAGAATTCTCAGTATAAAAAAATAGGTTTCATTTAAAGCCCTATAATAATTAAATATTTTAAGACACATTTTCTAAGAAACATTTTCTTTTTAAATATACTCATGTTTGTTAAATCTTATTTTGTAAGCTCATTTTTCTAAAACAGCTTAGATTTATTACATTGCTTACGGAATAACTCAGAGTCATCTTTATTAGCAAGAATTATTGTTCAAAGTTGGAATCTAAGGATGCTCAATATTTTCAGGGTCACTTCTAGTCTGTTACTCATCTACCCATTCATTCATTTATCAGTCACTTAAGGAGAACCTTCTATATTCAGATACTCTGATAGGCAGAGAAGATATAATCACACCCAATTAAAGCCACAGCCCTTGCCTTTTTGATGGTTTTATTCTAGTTGGGATATGGTTTTATTCCAGTTGGGATAGAATTTAACCAATTAAACAGTGAAAAATAAATTGTAATGCCACATAAAACAATGAAACAAGTGGTAAAATGTGAGAGACAGCCTTAGATAACAGGTGAGATAAACTTCTCTGAGAAATTTAACCAGCAACCTAAAGAATGAGAAAATAGAGGAAGAGTATTCCAGACAGAGAACACTAAGTCTAAAAGCATAGAGGCATGAAAGAACACAGGACGTTACAGTAAATAAAAGCCAATGAGGCAAGAGCTTCAAGAAGAAACATAGAGAGGCTGAAGAGATAAGAAGGGAACAGATCACAAAAAGCCTCATAGGTCACAGTATAGACTTTAGATTTTATGCTAAATAAAGCAATGTATATAAACACTTCCATTCACACTTTAAGATCATGTTTGTTGTTCCGTGAATTAGAGGGAGACATGGGGAGTGAATCAACAGGTTTTGCTGATAAACTAAAGGAAAAGAATGAAAAAAAGTAAGCAATAAAGGATAATATCTACATTTCTGATTTGAAGATAATGATACCTTTTCTGATATAGAAGAGATCAGGAAGAAATCAGTAACTTAAAAATGCTGAGTTATAAGTACCCATGAGACATCACGTAAAAATGTCAAGGGGAACTGCATATTAGAATCTGGAGTTCAGAGATAATTTGAGGTGATTATATAATTGTGGTATCCAAATCCGTAAGGATTAATAAAAGGAACTAAAAGATGGTATAACACTAAGTAGTTAATGAAAAAGTGAAAAAGTAGAGTTTATGTAGACAACATATGAACAAATTTGGCTACAAAGGGAATTAGAGGAACAGCCCAAGACTAAGGAATGGATATGGAGTTGCTTTGTTTTTTAAGGGCGAGAGAGGTAGGGCTGTGAATTCATTATCTGTTGTTACTTTAAATGGGAGATCTTAAAAAAAAGTGTGTGTGGTAACAGGAATAATCCAACTAAAAGGGAACAGGTGATAGAATATATTTTACAAAGTTAAATATAAAGAAGAGGGGCTGCACATTTCACTAGAGTTGTGGTTTCACAGTATACAGATGAGAGTGATGGACTCTGGTTTCAGGAGCTTAGGGTGAAGCTGAGACAGGGATGCTTAAGGTTTGGAGAGAAAGGATTTAGGTTAAAAAAGTTTTCTGAGAAGTATAGCATACAAACACTGCCAGGAAATATAAAGCAGCCATCTAAGGTCTGTGATCACAGATTCCAAGTAAAATCTAGAAGTACAGTTCCACAGTTTTCTTTAACAGTCAGTGCTGCAAATATAGTTTGATTCCATATGGTATGGTTCCCAGCTACTATATTTTGTATTCTGGTCTCAATTTTCAGTCTTTTCCTTTGCTATTAGGTGGTATGTCTATGTCAGAAAATGACTGCCTGCTTGCAACTGCTGCACTATGCATGCCGTTCTAATATGGGCTTGGAAGACAGATACAGATATAAAAGTCATTAGAACGTAGCAAGTTAATAATGGTCACAAAAAAACAATTAGAGAAAAATGCTTTATGATAATATGGTAAGCAAAAGAAACATGATATAAAACTACACATACAATACATAACAAGCATGAGGGGAAAATATAAACAGAAACAATTAGACAGAAATACAAAAAAAATTACGTCCTGATTGTCTTTGAATGATGGAAATATAGTGCATTACCTCTTAATAAAAGGAACTAAAAGATGGTATAATACTAATTAGTTAATGAGAAAGTGAAAAAGTAGAGTTTATGCAGACAACATACGAACAAATTTGGCTACAAAGGGAAATAGAGGAATGGCCCAAAAGTAAGGAACGAATATGGAGGTGCTTTGTTTTTTTTAAGGAAGAGAGAGGTAATTTTACTTATCAATTTACTATATTTTTTCACATTGTAGATACGTACTGTTTTTGAAATGGGAAAAAAATATATTTCTTAGAAAACAGAGAGTAAGTATTAATAGAATCTCACTTAAAAACTCAGCTGGATATGGGGGCTCACACCTGTAATCCCAGCACTTTGGGAGGCCAGGGCAGGTGGATTGCTTGGGCCCAGGAGTTTGAAACTAGCCTGGGCAACATAGCAAGACCCTGTCTCTAAAGCAAATAAATAAGCCTCTCACATTTAAATTAAACATAAAACTTTCAGTACATAACTTTTACCGTGGCTATTTGGTGGCTTTTTCACTTATGCTCAGATTATCTGCCGTGACTCTGATAATAAAGCCAATCTAGTATTGTACTCTACTAAATAATTAAAATAATTTTTCAAAGATCATTCTTATATAAACCTCTAATATAAAATATTATCAGACAACTACAACTCTTACTAAAGTAAAACAGTTCAACAACACTGAAAAAATATGTAGCAGAAAATATAGAACCTACTGACCTAGACTTTATTTTTAAAATTTAAGCAGTATTTATAGTGCTTTTGAAATTTTAAGAAATAAAACTTTTAGAAATTTAAAATGGATACCAAAATGTGAGCAAATAGAGAAAGCAGTTTTAATAGCACAAGTTAAATAAGCTTTAATACAAAATCTCATGATATACAACAGAGGTCACTGTTACAGACTCAATGTTTATGGTCCCCACCCCCCAAATTCTTGTGTTGAAATCTGATCCCCAATGTGATGGTATCTGGAGGTAGGAACTTTCAAAAGTTACTAGTTCCTGAGGGTAAAGCCCTCATTAATAGGATTAATGCCCTTTTAAAAGGAGGTCAGAGAACTAGCTTGTTTTCTTTCTACCAGGTGACGATACAAGAAGTAAGCGGTCTGTAACCTGAGAGAGGGTCCTTACCAGAACCTGACCATACTAGCCTGCTGACCTCAGGCATACAGCCTCCAGAACCAAGATAAATACCTGCTGCTGATAAGCCACCCAGTCTACAGTACTTTGCAATAGCAGCCCTAACTGACTAAAACAGTCACTAAGGAGCTTTAGGCTCCATTCTAAATCTCTATTAATTTTAACCAGTGGCAGGAGGCTTAAGTGAAAACAAATATCACTTAAAACCTAAACAATCTTTCAGCATAGGTAGCTAAAATACTATCTATTATACGTTCTCCTGTTACTTATTAGAAATTCTGATAGAATACCACAAACATTCTGGAACTGGATGTTAGAAAAGCTAAGGCGAGGAGAGCAAGGACTCAGGCATTCCATAAGGGTAGTAGCTGAAGGTTTAAACCTTTCCCTTAAGTCATAGGTCCCACCTACTGCGCATTTGAATAGTAGGTTTCTCTCTCCAAAGGGAACTTGCAGATTACTGGATCAGGCAACATGCAATAAAGAACTAGAGCAATTGAATATGCTCTAGTTCATATTCAGGCAAAAAGAATTAGAGCAATTGAATACCAAGGTGTTATAACACCCTCTTTAACTGATACTGGATGAGACAAAATCAGAATAAATCTGACCATAATATACTTTCAATGAGGGACATACGAAGGGAAACAGCAAACAAAAGTAGACTTAGGAAGATAAAGGAGTAGAGAAAAATGCGTGTGGTTTGGACTGAAAATTAGGAAAACAGAAAGCAGGTTCAGAAAGGAAGCTATTATGGAGAAAAAGCAGTATCCTACTCTTCATGCAAAACCCACTATTCAAATGTACAAACAATATAACCTAACACTTACCTCTCCAAGAAAAGAGGGGCCAAGCAAACTTCAAAACAAAAAGGAACTTTTATTACAATACAAAGTAGTGAATACTTTGGCTACAAATCAGTGGTATGTGGGGGATAAGAATGCCCTTAACTGATGTGACTAGCTGTTAGAACAAGTGTTCCTTTTATGAGGGAAAGCAGTTCACAACAGAGAAGCAACTTCTTATGAGTTTTCTTCCCTTTTAGGAAGGAAAGAAAAAGAGATAAGAGTGAGAGCATTGGGATCTTAAACTCTACTTAATACTTAGCATGCTTTTGGTAATAAAATGCTGATATGCCTTTTGATTTAATTTAAATTAAAAGTTGACTATGCTGTCATGTAAGAACACAGTTCACAGCAAGTGAACTGCATACTACTTATATCCTGAAGGATATATTCTAAAAGACAAAGTACAGCTTGAAAAAAAAACACAGAAAGAAAATAATTTAAATAAATTACTCTGTAAACTGTCAACAAAACTTACAGTAATTGTAGAAAAGTTAAATGTATCTCCCCGACCAAATTTAAAACTCTATTCAAGTATGACAGTTCCAGGACAAGATGTGGAACTGATGAGCAGCCACAAATCACATAAATACTAGACTGTGAATCAGACTTCCAGGATAAGAGGTATGGATCTGTTTCATTTATCAATGTGTGAAATTGAGTAAATCATTTAAAACTTGTTTTGCCGTTTGTAAAAATGGAGATAATATTGCCTATGGCAGAAAGTAACTAGGTACTCACCAATCTTGCTTTTTATATCATAGCACTTTCGTCAGAACAAGTTGCAGGGCTCCAGCCTATGTAACATAAGCAAAAATGATGTATCTACTTCTAAGTTTGACACCTTAGGATCTCCTGAGAGATCCACATCCTACTCTCTCTCCACTCACCAGTTGGCACAGCAATCTAACAGGGGACTCCAGGGTAGCAGGAGGAAAAAAGGAGCCATAAGGGACAAAGGGTGGATAGCTTGGAGGATAGCTGAGCCCTTGTGTCATCATTTTGTGAAGGACCTACCTGGAGAGCTGCCCAATCCCTTTCTGATTCCCCATTTGACCCTGCTTCCTGTCTGAAGAAACTGAGAAACTTGCATTAATCTTATAATACTGAGATTTTAGTTGTAACATATCAACACATCTCCCTAGTTCAATAAACAGATCCAAATGAAAAAAACATTTTAAAAACTGTATCAGTATAAAGCTTTAAATAATTATAAAGGTAATATTAATGGAATTAAACCAGACTAAAGACTATACACAGTTTCTTTTTTAAAAAAGTTTAAAAATACAATCTTAAAAATAATACTAATAGCAATATATATATTATTTAACAAGAACTAGAAAATTAGTACATTTTTTAGTATTAAAAATCAACAGACTGCTAATTTCTAAGTAAAAGCTGCTTATTCCTTCAAGTATAATTGCTTACTTCTTCAAGGTATTAACTCTTTCAGGAAAATGGCTTACTCATTAAGTCAGCATACAATTGTCCCTGGGTATCTGAGGGAAACTGGGGATAGGTGGGGGACCAATACCCACAACACCCCTTCCAGGATACTGAAATCCAAAGATGTTCAGACTCCTTATATAAAAGTTTTCATCTGCATATAAACTACACACATTCTCCTTTATATATTAAGTCATCTCTAGATTTCTTACAATAATACAATGTAGATGCTATATAGTTTTTATCATGTATTTTTTTAACTTAAACTTGTACTTTTTCTGAATAGTTTTGATCCACGATTGGCTGAATCAAGAAATATGAAGCACAAACTGCACTAGAATCAGATGCCACTTCAAACTCTCCATTTCAAAGGGAAAAAAGTCAATGAGAGACAGGGGCAAATTAGTTGACAGCAAAAGAGAAGCCATAACTAAAAATAATGAACATTTATTTACAGTTTAGGACTATCAATGGGATAAATGAATATTAACATGATATAAAAAGAAACAAATTTCTTCTGTCATACTCATGATTAATCTTTCATGTTATCTATTTACTTGAATAGTTCTATTATATAGTTCTTTTCAATATAGTCACTCTCAAGCCTGCCTATTCAATATAGTCATTGCCATGCCAACTTACACTATTCATAGTCATGATCCACTCTCCTTAAATATCCTTTAAGGATTTTATAGACCCTAAAGAATGCCCTCAGATTCTCTATCTTTAACCCAATTGTATCATATTATTTAAAATGCAAACTGTCATTTCTGATCAGTAATATTTTTACATAGGCAATTTACAATTTTAGATTTTTTTCAGTATTAAAACAGAATCATTATATATTACAAAAGGCTCATAAAACAATAATTATGCCAAAAGGATAAAGTCAATAATCTTACTCAATCGAGATAAATGACAACATGACCTCAAAATTTTAGGACTTAACTTTAAAAAAAGGTAGATGATCTTAAAAACGTAAAACAAAATTGGGAAGAAATAAAACTACCTATAGCAGAAAAGTACCCATTACTAGACTTTCTCAATATCCTTAGAACCTAATATAGCATTAAAGACCGCATTAATCAACACAAATATGTTTATAAAAGCAAGTCAAGATCACAAAGAAAACCAATTTCATGTTCTTTTTAAAGAGTGAGTTTACCCTCAAATTATCTATGTATACCTATGACACATTCTTCTGAGAAAAAGGTTTTAAATATAAACTCTTCCAATATTAATAAAGATAAGGTTTTTGATCTCTCAAGGCTTTAGTTTTCACTGGTGAGTGTAAGTTTTATAGAAATAAATGGAAAGCAGAATATGTAACAATATAAAAATGAATGTACACTAAAAGGGGATAAGATTGCCAAGATCTTTACAGACAAAGAGGAGATATGGAAGTGACATCACATCATAAGCATAGTTTAGAAACCTGCAGTTCTCAAGAGAAAATAAGCTACCTTAATGTATGTTATGTAGTTTACTGAGATCCTTTTTACTTCAAATTAATGATAATTTGCCCAGCTGATATTTATCTTTTCATGATCTTCAAAGACGGTTTTGGTAAGCGAAATCAGTAAGCAAGATTGCACAGGCATATTAAGCCTAAACAGTAAAAAACTAGTTAAAGATGATTGATTTTCACTTATTTTAGACTTTACCAAAACTTGAGTCATTTTTTTATTTTGCTCCTAAAAATGTGCATTTGTAAAAAGCTCTCTCACACATTCATTATACATACACACACGTATATCATATTGTTCCAAAAAAATTTTAAAGCAGTTTGAATATTTTTCAATATTTAAACACCAATATGGAAAAAAGTAGAAAGCATAGAGAAGAATACAAATACTTAAAAAAAAAAGTAAATTCTGTAAAGAAAATTTAAGCTTTGTAAATGGGATACCCCTGAATGAAAAGCACATTTGTCTTGAAGAACATGAAATCATTACTAGAAGAGCTAGCCATTGCTTTTCTAACTTCAACAGGCCTAAGCAAAAGAAAATGGACATACAAAGCAGTAACAGAATTTGATTATTTAACTGAAATGAATAATTGAAGTAAATAGTCACAGTACCAAATTTATCACTTACCTTTCACAGTGACACAAGATTTTGGCATGCTTTTCTGTGTGCAGACTTTCCTTGATTTCGCCTCACTGTATCTTTATCTATACTTTTTTAATCTACTTTTTTTGGGGGACGGGAGGTACATGTTTCAGCAAGGCTACTTAGCTCCTTTATGAAAGAAATAGGGATTGTGAGCTTATAGTGTAGTAGACAAAATTAAAACCCTACAACATAACTTTTTCCCCTCCTTGCTAAATTACACAGTTTAAAATTCTTTGCAGTAAAACTAAAAACTGTTAACATTCATATTATAATAAATTCTGGACTAAGCCACCAACAGAATGTATGCTTTCAGTATTTTCTTAAAACAATGGTAAAAATATTGAAGCACTTGGATTTACAATGTCTCACCCCCTTGTTGACCAAATTTTTTTAAGGTAATTCGAGGAAATATGTAGTATTCTCAGTGACCACAGAGAGGAAAAACAAAGGTGGAGGTGAGAGGAGTGAATTCTTGTCTTTGATCCTATTACTTTTGTGCTAAACAGGTAAACTACTAGTATCTCAAACTAACAGTAATAAGGAAGGTATAGCCAGGCAATCCCAGCACTTTGGGAGGCTGAGTTGGGAGGACTGCTTGAGGCCAGGTGTTGGCAAATAGCCTGCACAACATAGCAAGGTCTTGTCTCCACACACAAAAAAAATCATTTTTTTTTTAAGAGAAATAAGAAAGCTAGATTTTTCTTATGACTTTGCTTTGTTTTATCTTTTAGAAACAGTAACTAGGAAGTTAATCAGTTTGGTAAACTAGAGATCGAAAATGTCAGTTGAAATCAGCCTATCCTTGCCTTACCTGCCATTACAGAGTAGCCATCGAGCAAGAGAATAGTGAGGTATAATCTTCTGCATGACACTGGCCATCACCATGGTAACAACCAGCTGTATACCTATCACACCCTGTGTAAAAAAAACAAACAAGTTTAATAATGAATGAATTTGGATTTAGGGACATTGCTGGAAAACTTTCTGTACATTTTGAAAAATTACATTTTAAGAAAAATGAGTTTACTATTAAAATACATTACTCTTGGCTCTCCATAGCTGCAGGCTTCACAACTACAGATCAAAAATATGGAGAAAAAATACAGTTAAAAAATACAATTAAAAATATATTACAAATTTAAATAATAGAGTATAAAAACTATTAACAGAGCATTTACATTGTATTAGGTAATATAAGTAATCTAGAGATGATTTAAAGTATACAGGAGGATGTGCATAGGTTATATGTAAATACTATGTCATTTTATGTAAGAGACAAAAATGGCCCTTACATAAAAATTATTTTGGTATGGGGTAGTCCTTGGACAAATCCCCTGTGGATACTGAGGGACAACTCTTAAATTCTGGCAATTAGGTATTCAAGACCACACAGTTTAATATAAATTTTAAATGAATTAGCATATACATCTATAATCTATTCTCAAGCAATGTTCTGCATAAATTAAGGATATCAAATTGAAGTGGAAAGTGATTTCTTCATCCTTCTCCAATTTACTCGACACACTTAAAATATAAGCTTGACAAGCTTTAAAAATAATATGCCTGTTTTTAATTCTAGGTGGTAGTCATCATAAACCATTAACAATACTAAGTGTGATGGCAGAACTGGCCTGAAAGTCACTAATAAAGAAAACTGAACTGATGCTATTACCACCCACTTCCAGTCAATGGGTCTTAATGTCCAACAATCCTCTTAGTTTACCCTCATCAATCCCCCGCATATTCTCCATGATGGCTAATTCAAACCTTCCCTCTCCTCATACCTCCAATTTCCTTCAAACATCTAACTCTCCACTCGGTAGAGGATATCTACTTTACAGGGAAAACAGATACAATCAAATGGGAACCCTCTCATTTCCCACCAATAAGCTCACAAAATCACTTATATATACATATGTCTTTTCCCATACCCCCAGAAATACGAGCATCTTCTATAGAAAGCAAATCTATCTGCGCTTTAGAGCCTACTCACTTTGATTTTCAGGAATTTCCACCACTGAATAGCCTTCCTCTCTTCTTTAATATATTTTCTATTTTGAATCCCTTCTATCAGCATTGTAACACTTGTAAGTCTCTTTTGTTTTTTCTAAAGAATAACAATAATTTCCCCATTTGACAGCCTTCTCCCAACCTCATATTCAGAGCCACTTTTCAAGACTTGTTCTCACTTGTTTCCATTTTCTCATATCTCCCACACAGTATCCATCTAACTTCTACCTCAGTGTATTCCACTGAAACATGTACCATAAAGGAAGATCATTCCATCTTGACAAATTATTTTTCCTCAACTTAAATCTCAGCAGTATCCTAAATGGTATACCACATTCCCTGTTTTATTACCACATTGATGATCAATCCTTTATCCTCCCCTTTGCTGGCTTCTTCTCTAGCCAGGCACTCTAAAAATAAAGTTGAATTCTTATCTCAAACCTAATAGATCAAAAAAGCACTTAAAAATGTTAAGGCTGGGCATGGTGGCTCATGCCTGTAATCCCAGCACTTAGGGAGGCCAAAGCAGGCAGATCACCTGAGGTCAGGAACTGGAGACCAGCCTGGCCAACATGGTGAAACCCCAGCTCTACCTAAAATACAAAAATTAGCCAGGTGTGGTGGCATGTGCCCAT